TTTCAGCAGAAGTAATTCAAGGCACACGCCGGCTCAGGGCATGCAGAGGTAGTTTTAGCAGAAGGAGGAAGAGTAGCAGTTGTTCAGTTGTTCTAGCAGAGGTAGTTTTAGCAGAAGACAGAGGAGTAGAAGTTGTTCAGTTGTTCTAGCAGGAGTAGTTTTGGCAAAGGTCGACCTTAGGATAAGTAATTTTTAACATGTGTTGTAGCAGAATCCATTTCGTAGCAAATCGTACCAAAGGAAGCGACTTCATATAAAGCGGTTTCATAAGAAGTCTTTTTTAATAGAATTTACAACAGATAAATTTAACAGGAACAGTTCCAGAGGAAGGACTTTTAGCAGATGGCCTTTCAACAGGCGCAAGTTTAACAGGCTTAGTTTTAATAGAATTACATACAGCAGATGCACTTTCAATAGAATCTGTTTTAACCAAAGCAGTCGTTGCAGGAGTTTTAGCAGGCTCAACCACTCCCCCCCCTAATAGCAGAAGCCCTTTCGATAGACGCAGCAGCACCAACAGCAGAAGCAGGAGCAGAAGCAGGCACACCCAGTCCCCCAGCAGAAGAACTTTCGAAAGACTCATCACCAGCAGAAGCAGAAGCGTACTCCCCCCCCCCCCAAAGCAGAAGCACCTTCGAAAGACGTACCACCATCACCACCACCAGCAGAATCAGGCGCACCCCCCCACCCCCTAGTAGCAGAAGCCCCTTCGAAAGACACAACACCACCACCATCACCACCACCAGCAGAAGCAGGCGCACCCCCACCCACCCACCCCCCAGCAGCAGCAGAAGCGGCGGGCGTCGGGAGAGTGAGACGTATGCCTTGGATGTGGAGCCGCTTGCTTATTGCCTCCGCCTTCATAATTCAAGACAGTATTAAATTTTCTCGGTCCTCGCGGGCGCTGTGAGGGGAATAATGTAGCCATGGATACGCGGGGAGAGGGAAGAGGGAGGGGAGATAGTGGGGAAGGGAGATAGTGGGAAGGGGAGAAGGGGGTGAGGGGAGATGGAGGGGGAAGGAGGGTAGGTGGGAGAAGAGAAGGAAAGATGGTGGGGAGGGGAGATGGAGGGGAAGGGGAGATGTGGGTGAGGGGAAGAGAAGGGGGTGAGGGGAGGGGAGATGGGGGGAAGAGAAGGGGAGATGGTGGGGAGGGGAGATGGTGGGGAGGGAAGAAAGTAGGTGGGGGAAGAGAAGGGGAAATGGTGGAGAGGAGAGAAGGGGGTTAGGGGAGATGGAGGGGAAGGGGAAAAGAGGGAAGATAAGAGAAGTGGGGGGGGGGGAGAATGAGATGGGAGGAGTGAGTGAGGGAAGAGGAGAGATAGAGGAGGGAGAAGAGGGCAGATTGGGGGGGGGGGAGTGGTTAGGGGATGGGAGAAAAAAAGGGGATAGATGGAAGCGAGTGATTTGGGAAGAAGGGGAAAAGGTGAGGTGGGGGGATGGGGGGGGGTAGAGGGAAATGAGGGAGTGGTTGGGGAAGAAGAGGGAAGAAGGAGAAAGGGGGGAATAGGTGAGAGGGAGAAGGAAGATGGAGAATGATTAGTGAAAAAAGGAAGAAAGGGAAGAGGAGAGATGGCGGGGATGGGTAGGGGGAGGGGAAGAAGAGGAAGGGGGGTGGGGGGTCGGAGGGAGATATAGCGTAAAAAAAAAGTTAATGATGTAGTCATGGATACAGGGGGGGGAGGGGGGGGAGTGAGTGGGGAAGTAAGCGGAAGAAGAAGAGGGGAGATGTGGGAAGGGGAGAAAGGGGGGGGAGGGATGGAAAAGAAGGAAATGAAGGAAGTAGTTGATTGATCAGGGGACGGAGGAGGGAAGAGGAGAAGGAGAGAGAGTAAAAAGGATGATGGAGAGGGAGAAAAATCCCTGAAAAAAAGGGGAGAAAGGGGAAAATGCAAGAAAAGGGGAAGAGGGAAAGGGGAAAAAAGTAGGAGCAGAAAACATACAGTTATAAGGAAAGAAAGGGAGAATAGGGAAGGATAAAGAGACTAAAGATGGGGAGAGAATGAGAATAGAGAAGATACGAAAGGATGGAAAGGAGAGAGAAAGAGGACGAAAAGGAGAAACGGAAGAGGTAAAAAGAACGAAAGTGAGAATAGGAAAAGAAGACGAAAAGAGAAAAAAATAAGAAGAGAAAGAAGAAAGAGAGAGAGAGAGAGAGAGAGAGAGAGAGAGAGAGAGAGAGAGAGAGAATGGATGAAATAGGAGGGGGGGAAGAGAGAAGCAAGAAAGAAAACGAAAAAGACATATTTTTAGAATTCCTAAAAGTCACGACTGAATATTTTGTTTTTTCTCTAAAGGTAGAAGGTAGAATATTTTTCCGTCAGTTTCTCAGATAGATAGATAGATAGACAGACAGATAGATAGAGAGACAGATAGATAGTTAGACAGAGAGAGAGAGAGAGAGAGAGAGAGAGAGAGAGAGAGAGAGAGAGAGAGAGAGAGAGAGAGAGAGAGAGAGAGAGAGAGAGAGAGAGAGAGGAGAGAGGGAGAGAGAGAGAGAGAGAGAGAGAGAGAGAGAGAGAGAGACGTATGAAGGTATGTAGGTAAATAGGAAGGTATATAGATAGAAAGAAATAGACAGACATATAGCTTGACAGCTTTAGAGAGAAAGAGAGACAGAGAGTGATAGAAAGAGTGAGAACGACAGACAGACAGACAGAAAGATGGATATATAGATAGAGTGACATGCAGATAGATTGATAGACAGATAGAGAGATAGATAGATATACAAATAGATAGACAGACAGGTAGATAGATAGAAACGGACAGACAGACAGTCAGACAGAGAAAGAAAGAAAGAGAGTTTATATAAGTGTAAATACACGTCGGTTTATGTAAGTCAACGTCTGTTTAGATCCAGAAAGGTAGATAAGTGTAGATTTTCAAAGAAACACTACCTTTGTTGCACAGGATCGTCTTGCATACCAATTCAAGTTCAAATAATGCTCGAGATGATCACGTGATCACAGTCTATAATCTTACGAATTCAGGGAAGAGCAAGTGCTGTATAAACGTCGATCTACCTTTGGATTATTAGTTTTTATCTGTTTATCTGTCTGTCTTTTATCTACCTGTCTTTTTATCTGTCTGTCTTTTTATCTGTCTGTCTCTTTATCTACCTGTCTTTTTTTATCTGTCTGTCTTTTTATCTACCTGTCTTTTTATCTGTCTGTCTTTTTATCTATCTGTCTGGCTGACTGGCTCTCTGTCTTGCTGTCTGGCTGGGTGGTTAGTTATCTGTTTCTCTCTGTCTGTTTCTGTCTGTCTGTCTGTCTGTCTGTCTGTCTGTCTGTCTGTCTGTCTCTCTCTCTCTCTCTCTCTCTCTCTCTCTCTCTCTCTCTCTCTCTCTCTCTTTCTCTCTCTCTCTCTCTCTCTCTCTCTCTCTCTCTCTCCCTCTCCCTCACCCCCTCTCTCCACACCTACCTCCCTCTCCACCTTTCTCCCTCCCCCTCCTCCTCCCTCTCCCTCTCCCTCCCCCTTCCTCCTCTCTCCCCACCTACCTCCCTCTCCCTCCCCCTTCCTCCTCTCCCTCCCCCTTCCTCCTCTCTCCCCACCTACCTACATCTCCCTCACCCCCTCTCCCCTCCTACTCCCTCTCCCTCTCTCCCTCCCCCACCTCTCCCCACCTCCCTCCCCCTCCTCCTCCCTCTCCCCATGCGACCCCCGGCACATTATTATTTACAGAAGAAGCGAGACTGACAAGCGACGCCGCGGATCGTGAGGAACCGAGACGCGGGGAGATCTGTCACTCGGCCGGGCTGACTGCGACGCCGAGGAAGGTCAAACAAAGATCGTCTCAAGATCAGGTCAAGGAGGAGGAGGAGGAGGAAAAGCGAAGGAGGAAAAGGGAGGGAAGGAAAAGGAGGAGGAGGAGGAAAAGCGAAGGAGGAAAAGGGAGGGAAGGAGAAGGAGGGAGGAAAAGCGAGGGGGGATGAGAGGGAGGAGGAGTGAGGGAGGAAATGCGAGGGAAGGAGAATGAGGGAGGAGGAAGGAGGAAAAACGAGGGAGGAGAAGTGAGGGAGGGAGAATGAGGGAGGAGGAGTGAGGGAGGAAGAACGAGGGGAGGAAAAGCGAGGGAAGAGAAGAGAGAGAGGAGGAGAAAGGGAGGAAAAGCAAAGGAGGAAAAGCGAGGGAGGGAGAACAAGGGAGGAGGAGTGAGGGAGGAAGAACGAGGAGGGAGGGGAGAAAAAGAGAGAGGAAGAGTGAGGAAGGAAAAGTAAGGGAAGAGAAGCGAGGGAGAAGGAGAAAGGGAGGAAAAGCGATGGAGGAATAGGGAGAATGGAGGGAGAATGAGGGAGGAGGAATAAGGGGGAAGGAGCGAGGGGAGGAGAGTGAGGAAGAGAAAGGGAGGAAAAGTGAGGGAAGAGAAGCGAGGAAGAAGGAGAAAGGGAGGAAAAGCGATGGAAGAAAAGAGAGGAAGGAAAAGTGAGGAAAGAAAAGCAAGGGAGAAGGAGAAAGGGAGAAAAAGTGAGTGCAGAAAAGAGAAGGAGGAAGAGAAAGGGAGACAAAAGTGAGGAAGGAAGAACGAGGGAAAGTGTTGAGGAAGAGGACCAGAGAGAATTGAGAATATGAAGTGGGGGTAGTTGAAAAGGGGCTGAGGGGGGGGGGAGAGCCGCTCTATCGACTTGGTACTAAAGTTGCGTAAGGCAAATTGATGCTTTTTTTTTGAGGGAATACTTGAAAGTATGCGTCGAGAATGTAACTTACGTAAGTAGATGAAAGTAGTCGGTGCAAACAGAAAGAGGAATGAGATTTACGATTGTCTTCTCGCTGTTTTATTGTCTCTCTCTCTCTCTCTCTCTCTCTCTCTCTCTCTCTCTCTCTCTCTCTCTCTCTCTCTCTCTCTCTCTCTCTCTCTCTCTCTCTCTCTCTCTCTCTCTCGCTATCTATCTATCTGTCTGTCTGTCTATCTATCTGTCTGTCTGTCTCTCTGTCTCTCTGTCTCTCTGTCTCTCTGTCTCTCTGTCTGTCTGTCTGTCTGTCTGTCTGTCTGTCTGTCTGTCTGTCTGTCTGTCTGTCTGTCTGTCTGTCTGTCTGTATCTCTCTCTCTCTCTCTCTCTCTCTCTCTCTCTCTCTCTCTCTCTCTCTCTCTCTCTATATATATATATATATATATATATATATATATATATATATATATATATATATATATATATATATACATATATCTGTCTATCTGTCTGTCTATCTGTCTGTCTATCTGTCTATCCATCTGTCTGTCTAAAATTCTTTCTATCTATGAATCTACTTATCTGTAAATCTATCTATTTCTCTTTCTGCCTGTCTGTTTATACGTCAGTCTCTCTCTCTCTCTCTTTCCTATTCACCCCCCCTCCCCCCTTTGCCCTTCTCTTCCCAAACAAGCCACACAAATACCCAAACACACAGCGTGCATCGGATAAAATCTGCATTGTATTTGACACGCCACAAGAGGGGATAGCGCCCCCCCCCTCCTGTGGACACCTCCTTCCCCCCCTTGCCGCCGTTTGAACCGCCAGATGCTAAAATAACGTCAATACCCCCCCTCCCCCCTCCCTTTGCCCCTTCCGTCTAAGCACACGCACACAGACGCACACGGAAGAACGGATGGGAACGCACACAATGGACAGCCTCATTATCCAGTGTTCTGTGTGAATGAGTAATTGACAAAATGGCCATTTTCGAGGGGAACAGATTTCCTTCCCTCGTGGATAAACCCCCCACGTCGCTCCTCCCCTTTCCCCCCCCCCCCTCCACCCCCTTCCCCCTTCCCCCCTATCATTTTTGCCCTACTGTTCTCCTTCTCACCCCCCCCCCCCCCCCAATCCTTCCCCTCCCGTGGCGTGACCTGAGACAAACCAGGCGTGACTTTTGACGAGTTGGGTCAATCTTCCCTCTCTCTCCCCCCCGCACCCCCTGCCGCCGTG